GAAGATCGTTGCACATTTTAGCAATTGCATATAAAGACAATGTAATAGTTGCAAAACCAAAGACAGAATTAATTATAACCATTGATCAATAAAGATCAAATCAACCACAATGTAAAACCACTTGAACATGATCTGTTCTATAGGTTGTACATCTAAATCCAGATATTCATCTAAGATAAAACCACTAGTATGTTGTGTTTCATCTATGCAATGACCTGATGGGCAGCAGGTCATTGCTTTTTGACAACATCACAAAATATGACACTAAGAAAGATTCACAGATCTCAACACCAAATCATGTTAACCTGGTCCTATATCCACACAAATCATATCCTGTTTCTCAACACCATAATAACCCAAAATCAGATTGCTAAAACTTAATCAAATCAGACATTAAGCCAAAAATCAAATTGTCACTGTATGTGTCCAAGTGTGACACATATCCTAGTTGATAAACTTGCCATATTCTGCCACTTTCCGTTTCACTTGTACGGCAAGTTGATTATGATCAGAGGATAGCATTTCGTAGCAATATCGGAGACAGAGCATTCTTAATGTTAGACAATGCGTGCAACTCTAGACGGGGGGTGAATAGAGTTGTTGAGAATGTTTACCGATTTTCGCAGGATTAATAAAATAAACGTAAGTGCAGCGGAAATAAAAGAGAGAAGGCAAAGAACACACCGATGGATACTGGTTCACCACCTCGTGGCTAGTCCGGTTCCCTGAGAGATTCTCTCGAAGCTAACACTACTTCCGTTAAGCTTACGGGTGCTTAACAAACCGTTTACAACTCGAGAACATGAATCCCACAAGCCTCGAAACAACCGCTCGTAGATATGCCCTCTACAAGACTTCACAACCAAGACTTAAGTCACATAAGTCTTGAACAACAAGAAGAACAATCTTCTTCAACCTCACAACAATAACTTTCACAAGAGTAGAAATGAGAAAAGATTAAGCGCTATGGATGACAAGAACACTCTCTTGAAAACACTTAGTTTTCTCTCAAAATATATCAATTTGAGGAAGAAATGAATGGAGGATTATAACCTCAAGATTGGGAGAGTTTAGGAGTGCTTGTTCATACTAAAAATGACCAAGGAGTTAAGTTTATAAAGGGGTTGAAGGAATATATCCGTTGGTCCAAGAAAACAAGTAGTGCTGAAAAGATGCGGCATAATAATCGATTAATGCAGTGCCAATAATCGATTAATGCAGTCTGTGTAAAAAGATAATCGATTAAATCAAAGCTATTAATCGATTAGAATGGTCTGAGTAAACTAATCGATTAACGGGAAGAAATAAATCGATTATATCAAAGAAGCTCAACACGAAGTAAAACTCAATTAATCGATTAATCAAGAGAATTTAATCGATTAATCTAAACAAAAACTGGTTAAATCGATTAATGTGAGAATATTAATCGATTAGATTTGAAATGATGCACAAACACAAGGGCCCCAAGCCAGTTGCGAGATGAGAAGTAAAAAATGTCTTAACGCGATTGTTTCAGACAAGAGGAATGAGAGACGCTCCTCAAACAAAACCTTTCCTATTCAATGTATTTGAATAAGGGAGTAAAAAGTGAGTCCAAAAATTATTTTGTGTGTCAAATGATGTACACGAAAAATATTTGAATAAAATATTTTTGCTTACCAAAAATATTTTATAAGATCAAAATAAATATTTGATGAATGTTTGACACACTTTTTTTGTAACTGACTCAATAAAACTATTTTGAACAGTTAAAAAGATTTTTCAACTGACTCCAAAAATAAATATAATTTTTATTTTAACTCTCATAAAAATAGTTTTGGAGAGAAGATATTTTTGTCATCCTTACAATATTTTCTAAGACTCAAATAAATAAAAAGTTTTCGGAAAACTTATACTCCTCCGAGTCCTCCGTTAGGCGCTCCGGACGCGTCTCGGATTTCAACAGAATCCTGTGCACCTTCTTGAATACTTCAAGGAATGACACTTCAAGTCTTCGTGATTGTCGCTGAAGCACTTTAATCTTGAATTGAATAAATTGTGCTTGTCAATTATCAAAACCTGTGAGTCAACACTAAACAACACAGAAAGGGTTGAACTCATGCATTCCAACAATTTCCCTCTTTTTGATAATGACAAACACATGGAGGATATTCTACCAATAAATAACAAATTAAAGCATATACTCCTATACTCTTCCCCCTTTTGGCATTATCAAAAAATAATGCAGCAAAAGAACTCATGCATTCCGGGGAGAGAAAAAAATTTCTAAACAAATAAGAAAAAAACACATTCCCCCTAAAATCATGCATTTCTAGGAAATAAAATACTTCCCCCTTAAATTATGTTATCTCCCCTTAAAAAAAAAGCATACAAAAAGATTAACACATATAGCAAAAAATTCCCCCTTACTATATGCAAAATATCCTATATATATTCCCAAAAAAAATCATGTAAATTCATTAAAAATGTAATGACTCCACTTTGATGCAACCTCTTTGGCTAAGTGCTTGGAGCATCCACTACAAATTTGTAGTCTTCAAGCACGCCTTCCATGTGCATCACGTACCCGACCACCCATCTTGTTCTTCAAGAGCGATGAGACAATCGTCTTTGGAAGGTTCATCATACTTCCACAAAAAATACGCGAATTCATCTTGTTTGCTCATCTTCTTGAGCTTCGAGCACTCAAATTTTCGGTGGCCAAGCTTTCCGCACTTGTGACATTTTGGGGTATTTTTCTTCTTGCTCTTGTTTAGCTCATGTTTCAAAAACTCATTAAAACATTCAACCAAAATATCACAGGAAGTGCTAGAATCACTATCACTATCACTATCCGAATCCGAATCACCAATCTCTACTTTTTGAGAAGAAGATACTTTAAAAGCAATTCCCATTCTCTTCTTAACGTCAAGAGTATGAGAAAGATGATTTGTTTCGTAAGTGATAAGGTTACCTCGAAGACCGTCGTATGTGATGACGTTGTAATCTCGGCCTTCGTAAATGGAGTTAACCTTCGACTCCTATTCCTTGGTAAGACTTCGCAGAATTTTTCTCACTAACTCTTTGTCGGTGAGTGTCTTTCCAAGCATATCAAGGTCGTTGACGATGTTTGAAAATCTTCCAAACATGTCCTCCACAAGTTCGTTCTCTTTCATTGCAAATAACTCATATTCATGGGTTAGTAAATCAATTTTTGATTCACGAACTTGAGGCGTACCTTCGTATGCGATCATGAGCTTGTTCCACATTTGATTGGCGGTTTGGCAACGAGATATCTTTTGATAATCGTTGGCGTTGACAACACAATACAAGAAGTTGATGGCGGTGGCATTTAATTGAGCCTTCTTAAGATCGACTTCATCATATTCATCCTCGTCCTTCAGGATGAGTATATCGCCTATCTTCTTCATTGGCAAGCTATCTCCATTCTTGATAGCAAGCCAAATTTTGAAGTTATTAGATTGAACAAAAATTCTCATACGCTCCTTCCAATAGGAGTAATTTATTCCATAAAAAAATGGCGGCCTTACGGTGGATTGCCCTTCTCCTATCCCTGCGTTCAACATTCTCAAAAAAAATTTGATCGTTTTCTCAAACGTCACAAGGAGCGTTAGAGATACCTGCTCCGATACCAATTGTTAGACAATGCATGCAACTCTAGAGGGGGGGTGAATAGAGTTGCTGAGAATGTTTACCGATTTTCGCAGGATTAATAAAATAAACGTAAGTGCAGCGGAAATAAAAGAGAGAAGGCAAAGAACACACTGATGTATATTGGTTCACCACCTCGTGGCTAGTTCAGTTCCCTGAGAGACTCTCTCGAAGCTACCACTACTTCCGTTAAGCTTACGGGTGCTTAGCAAACCTTTTACAACTCGAGAACTTGAATCCCACAAGCCTCGAAACAACCGCTCGTAGATATGCCCTCTACAAGACTTCACAACCAAGACTTAAGTCACATAAGTCTTGAACAACAAGAAGAACAATCTTCTTCAACCTCACAACAATAACTCTCACAAGAGTAGAAATGAGAAATGATTAAGCTCTATGGATGACAAGAACACTCTCTTGAAAACACTTAGTTTTCTCTCAAAATATATTAATTTGAGGAAGAAATGAATGGAGGATTATAACCTCAAGATTGGGAGAGTTTAGGAGTGCTTGTTCATACTAAAAATGACCAAGGAGTTAAGTTTATAAAGGGGTTGAAGGAATATATCCGTTGGTCCAAGAAAAGAAGCTGTGCTGAAAAGATGCAGCATAATACTCGATTAATGCAGTGCCAATAATCGATTAATGCAGTCTGCGCAAAAAGATGATCCATTAAATCAAAGCTATTAATCGATTAGAATGGTCTGAGTAAACTAATCGATTAACGGGAAGAAATAAATCGATTATATCAAAGAAGCTCAACACGAAGTAAAACTCAATTAATCGATTAATCAAGAGAATTTAATCGATTAATCTAAACAAAAACTGGGTAAATCGATTAATGTGAGAATATTAATCGATTAGATTTGAAATGATGCACAAACACAAGGGCCCCTAGCCAGTTGCGAGATAAGAAGTAAAAAATGTTTTAACGCGATTGTTTCAGACAAGAGGAATGAGAGACGCTCCTCAAACAAAACCCCTCTTATTCAATGTATTTGAATAAGGGAGTAAAAAGTGAGTCCAAAAATTATTTTGTGTGTCAAATGATGTACACGAAAAATATTTGAATAATATTTTTGCTTACCAAAAATATTTTATAATATCAAAATAAATATTTTATGAATGTTTGACACACTTTTTTTTGTAACTGACTCAATAAAACTATTTTGAACAGTTAAAAAGATTTTTCAACTGACTCCAAAAATAAATATAATTTTTATTTTAACTCTTATAAAAATAGTTTTGGAGAGAAGATATTTTTGTCATCCTTACAATATTTCCTAAGACTCAAATAAATAAAAAGTCTTCGGAAAACTTCTACTTTTCCGAGTCCTCCGTTAGCCGCTCCGGACGCGTCTCGGATTTCAACAGAATCCTGTGCACCTTCTTGAATACTTCAAGGAATGACACTTCAAGTCTTCGTGATTGTCGTTGAAGCACTTTAAGCTTGACTTGAATAAATTGTGTTTGCCAATTATCAAAACCTGTGAGTCAACACTAAACAACACAGAAAGGGTTGAACTCATGCATTCCAACACTTAATCCATTTACCTACCAAGAAATTTAAACTTCAACTAAAATAAGATAAAATGTGTGATAATTTTATCTTATTTCACCTTATAAACAAAAAAGACATAAGACTTACATCATTTTTGTTCAAATCCATCTTCCACGTATTCAAATTCCCCTTGAAAGTTTCCAATTGCCTCATGGCTATGACACCAACACCCATACCTTCCATGTTCCCATAACATGCCTTCTTTGTTATTTCAAAAGGAAAGTTGGAAATTTTACTTGCTCTTTGCTCAAGTTGTTTTTCATTGAAAAACTCACACATTCCCTTTTTCTGCAAGTCAGTGAGACTATATTAGATTAAGTTGAAGAATAAACAATGAAGTTCAAGCTTAAGCCAGTATTACCACGCTTTAAAAAGGATCTTACCAAACATTCAACACATGTATCATACACCTTACTTTTATCTTCATTTGAATCAATGATGCTTATCTTCTCCTTTTACATGTTGAAACAAACTATATAAACATCATCCTTGTCTATTTCATCAGCAACCAAGAAGAATACCTGCAGTAAAATTAGAAGAGAAATGATATCAGAATAAATGAATACATTAGATAAAAAACACTAAAAACAAACAATTCCATGTAGCTGACCAAATCTGCAGTACACATATCAATGCCGCTATAAAACTGTTGTTCTACCAATTCTCTGTCAGCGACTTCACAAAAGGTTTCATGAGCATCGTCATATAAACTGATCTTTACAAACTCAGCCTACATAAATAATGTAAAGTTTATGTCAGTGTCACATTTGAATATCTCCACTTTTATACACTAAAGTACATGAATGATGTAAAGAGGTTATATACAAAAGGATTCGTGCTAAGGAAAACTCGATAGACATCTGACTTGCTTCGATGCTTTTCCTCGGCATTCAAGAATCGACACCAAATTTGTAAAATAAGCGACGAGATAGACCCTTCGGAAAAGCATATTAAATTGCTTCGCTTCATTTCACAAAACATGTCTTTGTACAAAACTTCCGTGTAATTAAAATTATGGAAAATAGGATAAATAAATATCAAAAAAATCTTAATAATAATAATTAAATTAAGTAACTTTTTTACAAAACAACGTGAAAAGGTAACACTTACCCAAGTAAAAGAGATTTGTTGAATACGTAGTCCGTGAGAACCTTCTCGGCACGGCTCAACCGTGAGAGTGCTTCCATGTTTCTTATCCAAAAAGGAGAACATAAGGCGCGTGCAAATTCTTTCTTCCTTTGGGGCTGAAGTCGTCTATTAATGAATACAGGACTTTCACCAGGGCTAAGACAGGATGCAATTTCTTGCCTTGTAAAGTGAGTATATGGTGGGGTTGGCTGAAAAAGAACAGTTTCTTCTTGTTTCCCTTGAACTGCACTCTCTGGAAAAGCTGGGATAGGCTCAATTTCGGGGTGACTCTGTACATCATCTGCCAATGCAGTGAGATTGCATGTTTGGGCTGTGCCATCTCCATTCTTTGTTTGAATCTCCTCATGCTGAACCTCTTCATATTGAATATCCTCATTTTGATTTTCCTTTTCCTCTAGTGTAAGCCCTAAGCTAAATGATGGCATGGACAAGTCTTGACTGTTGGTCTCAAGGTTGCGCTTCACCGTGAAAAATTCCATTTCAAGTCGAGATATTTCAGCCAAGAAAGAAGGGCTCTCGTGGACTACTTTGAATTGCAGTTTCGGATTTGTTTCCGAAATCGGAGTACCTGATATTCTTGGACTTTTACCAACAGCAACAATCACTTCTGCAGTAGTTTGTTGCATTCTCTTGACGGCATTTGAATTTGGGAACTCACGATTCAAGCCTCTACAGACGGTGTCCCACTTTGATGTTTTTTGCACCAACTCTTTTGCAGCAGTCCGTGCCTCCTCTAAAACGTCGTTCTAAAACAGGTTTTTAAAAAAGAAAAAAGTGTGTCAAGTTACTTTGATATTCAATGCTTCAAATTATCCACTCAAAGTCAAACCAAATAAATATGAAAAAGAAGCAAGAGCATGATCACTTCATTCATCCAAGCAAGGAGTTAATTTAGGAGACTAAGACGTTGATTGAACAATCATAGAGTGTGTTTGTGTAAAAATGGATTGGATGGCAGGTAGTGAACTTAAATGGGAATTGAAATTATAGAACAAAAAGCAAAGCACTAGTGTAGGCAGGGCAGGGATTTTTGAACATAAAGAAAACTGATGTGTGTGTGTCTTACAATTACCTGTGATTGTGATGTTTTCTTAGGAGGATCTTCAAGAGACGGGTTTTCATTTGAAAACAACTCTTTATTGATTTGTGGGTCCACGCTACCACAGCCAAAACCACCTATTTACAGTATTATTCAGTAACGTGTAACTTAAAAAAGCATGAACCTCCTAAAAATAAGTTGCACTAACCAGATTCCCGCTCCAATCCTTCTCTTTCCTTAAGCTTCTGCGAAGTCCAACCTAGCATAGTTGGAAAAGTTCTAGGCACTACTCTCATTTGGAAGACAACCCTATCAACATAAAACATCTAAAAAGAGAAAAAATCAGTATAACACAGACGACTCTATAAAATATGTACCGCGAACTAGTGTGTTGAACTTATAAAGTTTTATGTTAAGGAAAATGAATACATACCATTAAGAACAAAACAGGCCCAGTAAAATAAGGATTTGACTTTCGCTTCCATTGAATGGTAGAATTAATTAAACTGGTCAAGGTATACTTGCACCAGTTTAATTTATTCACGTTACTCAAATCGACTAAGGAGTGCAAAACTCTTGAATTTGCAAATGTATTTGTGTTTCCGGATATGCAGGTAGAGATGAAGAACACCATAAAATTGAGCTTAAATCCTTCACTTGACCCCGCCATTCCTAAAATTCTATCGGGCATAGCATTGGTACGTGGAAAATCCCTCTGTAAACCCCACTCATCTCTCCACTTAAGGACCAAAGTCTTATAATCCTCAAGGTCTGTTGGCTTGTTTTGAGCTTCTAGCACATCAAATGGCCCGGTCGGGAGGCCAAGGGTTAGATGGACATCCTTTTCTGTGATTCTAACCCGCTCATTTAAAAGATTAAGTGAACAGCTGTCTAGGTCAAAGTTTTGAACAAGCCATTTTGAGAGCTTTACCAGTAGAACTGACGCTTGAAGACCAGAAAGGGAATGAAAACCCAACTCTTCAACAGCTTTTTTTTGCTCACTATTTAACCTCTGCAAGAGGTTAAAAAGGCCGTTCAGAGACATACGAGTCTTATAATCTTTGTCATCAACTATACTTTCTAAAATAGTCGCAACATCTCGTTTTGGCCTATTAAAGATTGCATTGGGGACAAGGGCAGTGGGTGATTGTTCTAAACATAAAAGACATGGACTTTTCCTAAGAACTACGGAAGTCGATGGAGCTGCAGGTGTGCAAGGTTCAGCAGTGTGCTCTTCCACAGCAAACTCAGCTTGTTTCCTTAAAAAAACATGCAAAAGATTTACAGCAGAGGAGCAAGAAATTGTCCTTGAGCTTGATCACATCATGCAAAACATCAGAAGGATAATGCAATCAGGGTAACTTCTACTTCCCTAACTGTGCCTTTCAACTAAATCTTGAATATGATCTTTCTACGTATGATGCTATTTTGTTGCTAAAAATGGAAAGTGAGACGATTATCCCGTACTAACCTGTTTTGCTTTTGTTTGTTTGTTTGTTTGTTGGGATTATAGGTTGAACGACGGTGATACTTTATCTGCTGATGACTAGACATACATTGTTAACAATGTTGTTGAATACAACCCAGATAAAGATGCAAAAATTGGGTCTGGAGTTGATCCCCTTTTTAATTTTAAAACTGTGCCAAACAACAATTTTAGTTACTGGAGTAAGAAAACAGCAATCACCAACATACCTAATCCAGTTGTTTGAATTAAAATCCTACTGTAACATCCAAAGTATAACTAAAGAAATAATAACAAGGAAAAATGGGGGGAAGGGGCTGGACCGAAGTCCAGACCCCATAGGGTCATACCCTGCTCTGTTTTTCTTTGCTGCTGCCCTGGTCGTGTTCTCCCCCTTCCTTCACTGCTCGCTGCTGCGTTTTATAGGGGCTGGAAATCAGAGTTTCGTCTTGGATTAGGACTCCAAATTTGAGTTAGGAGGGGAGAAAAAAGTAATATTCAAAGATGATACAGAAGCAGCTTCAGCAGGGGAGAAAAAAATACCTTTATTAGTGGCGCCACTAAACCTGGAGAGAAAATCCAAAACCAAAGAGAATATGCTGCGATAGCTTGGGGAGATAGCTGGGATAGCTTGGGCGATGGAGATTGGGGCTTGGGGAGATAGCAGCGATAGCTTGGGCGATGGAGATTGGGGAGTGATTAGGGTTTATTTGGGTCGAAGGAGAAAGATGAAGCTGGGAAAGAAGAGAAATTGATGGCGATTGGGAGCGAAGGAAATGTACGAAGAAGAAAAAAGAATGGGCGAAGCGACAAAGAAGAAAGAAGTCTGGGCCAAGGAGAGCGAAAAAAAAAAGACTAAGAAGCGCGCGTGTCATCTGATGGGAACCGTCATCTTACCGAAACTCGTCATCTAACCGGAGTCAATCCCATATATATATATATATATATATATATATATATATATATATATATATATATATATATATATATATATATATATATATATATATATTTAATGAAATTTTATTGCATAATGGATAAAAGAAGCAATTACAGCAATGTGGGAGGAGAGTTCTGCCCACCGAAAATGAACAACAAAATGTATTACATAAACAAGGTAGAAGGCTTGCGTAGGTTGGAACGAAGACCCAAAGATTTGAGATTGTCATCAAGGATCATCCATTTTTTGTCTTTGTGAGTCCAAATCCACTCTTGTATAGTCTTCATGGTTGAGGTGATGATGGAGCGTTCGTTGAAGGCCTTCCGTTCGTAGATTTCAGCATTATAAGCTTTCCATAGTCCCCATGCAATCATCCCTGGGAGTATAGAGTGGATTTTGTCCATAAGTTTTATTCTGCACGTACCAAGCCNTGTGTATACGGGCTGCTCTTTTCCAGGTGACAGTGTCCGTGTGGTATTCATGGAATGAATCTGGCCGGTATTTGCTTCTCATATATTTTCCCCATATCCCTTCTGAATTTCTGATCTTCCACCAGATTTTTGACGAATAAGCAGCTTCAATATCCTCCAAATGCCTAATCCCAAGTCCTCCTTCGCATGTGGGGAAGCAAACATTTCTCCAGGACTTCCAGTGATATTTGGGTTTTCCATCTTTGTGTCCCCAAAGAAAATTCTGCATCATCTTGTTGAGGGTGTTGTGAATGGATTTAGGCATCTGTTGGACCGCTAGAATGTGTAATGGGATAGAGCTTAGAATATATATATATATATATATATATATATATATATATATATACACATATATATATATATACACACACACATACATATATACACACACACACACACACACATATATATATATATCTGAAAAAACAAGTTTTTATTAACGAGAAAGTAAGGCATACAAGAGGGAGCAAACGCTCCAAAAAGGAAATGGGTGAGTCTACCCAAAAGTGGTAGAGCAATGAAAGACAAATGATACAAGGTAACAAGGGACGTAGCCCAAAATTAAATCCACACGTTCACCATGGTATGAGGCGAGATTTTGGTAGGTATTGCTGTTCGTGGCCTTTTTCCATCTTCCCTCGGTGATCCTGAAGGGCCTAGGAAGAGAAATGGCCCGTTGTATCCCTCGCATTCTAGTTTTGGTTTTCCCACACAGTCGACAATGAAGCCTTCAATTATGGGTGGTCTTGATCTTCTTGTTGTCATTCTTGACATTTCATGGTGAGCTTCCTCTTTTGTAGGTGTGCTTTTGAGCGGGGTGGAGTTAGGGGTGTCCTGTTCAGAAATCTCAGTAATCATAGGGTCAGTTAACAATACAAAACGGTTTTGAGTGGGAATGTTTGGGTCAGAAATAATTTCATCATCCCCACAAACTGAATTGTCATGTGAGCCATCTAGTACATATATATATATATATATATATATATATATATATATATATATATATATATATATATATATATATATATATATATATATATATATATATATATAATGGATACCCAATATTTTCCCAGGGACTGTAGATCAGCCCAGGTCCAAATATAGGTATCCGGGCCTTATAATATTGAAAGATAATACGAGAATAATAATTAATAATAACGGAAGTATTGCTCACAGAATAAAAACTCAAACCGGTGGTCCTTTCCTCTATTCGGTCCACTTAGGATCGGAATATGCTCAAGGATCTCCGGAATATCTTTTATTATTACTCAAGTATTTTCTCTCTCTATTACAAGATGATCCCTCCTCGCTTAGTCCGTCTCTCTTTTATAGGCGCTGTTAGAATAAAGGCCCAACGCTAGAGGGGGGGGGGTGAATAGCGTTTAAAACAAAATCGCAGGAAATTAAAACTGAGAGCGATAAAGTAAAGAGCGTAAAGAAGGAGCACACCAAATTTTATCCCAGTTCATTACAACGTGTGGCTAATCCAGCCTCCCGAGAGACTCTCTCGAGCTACACTAACTCCATTAAGCTTAAGGGTGCTTAACAAACCGAGAGACTCTCCCGAGAGACTCTCCCGAGAGACTCTCTCGAGTGTTCTTTCTAGGTGGTCTAGTGTTCCTAATTGTTCTAGGTTGTCTATTTTCTTGATTTTCATTATTCCTAAGTTGAGCTTTAGGTTTCCTAGATGGTTGCTCAGCTTTTTCCTTATTATTAGTTTCATTTTCAAAACCTAAGCCATGTTTAGTAAGTTGCAAATTGTCAAGAACATCATTAAGGTTTTTATGAGAAACACCAAACTTCTTCAAAGTTCCTTCAAGTTTTGCAACTTGTTCCTTAAGTGATATACAAGAACTACATTTTGAACTTTCCGATTTGTCGGCGCTTCTTTTTCCGAAAAACTTATTTTCTTCTTTAAGTTTTTCATTATCTTTTGATAGTTTATCAACATCCTTCTCCATGGAAGTAAGTTGTTTCTTCAAATCTTTTTTAATTTTAGAAGCGTTGACATATTCATCATAAAGTTCATTAAAGGCTTCTTGTACATCATCAAAAGTATAGGAATCTTTAGAAGTGGTACATACCTCTTCCGGTGGTTCCTCGTGTGCCATGGAGCAAAGGTTGGCGCTTTCATTTTCTTCGTCTTCCGATGACTCATCGCCGGAATCACCTCTCCATGAGATGTAGGCTCGGTGTTTCTTGAACATTTTCTTCTTGTTCTTGGCGTTTGGACATTTTGGCTTTATATGCCCAACTTCTCCACACCCATAGCATTTGGGTGGACCTCTTTGCTTCTTTCCTTTCCGTTCATACTCTTGGCTCATGAACTTATGGAACTTCTTGAGCACGATCCCGAACTCGTCTTCGTCACTCAAGTCCTCCATAGCACGTTCTTGGCTTGTAGATGCCTTGAGGGCAATCCCATTCTTCTTTTGTTCACCTAGAGAGGGATAAAGAATGGTAGACTCATAGGTTTTGAGATTACCTCTAAGTCCGTCAATGGTGACGTTGGTGATGCCGATAGATTCTTGAATGGCATCGGCTTTGGATCGCCACTCCGGTGTGAGACTTCGCAGGATTTTTCTCACAAGCTCCTTGTCCGTGTACGTCTTCTCGAGAGCATGGAGATCATTAACGATTTTGGAGAATCGTTCAAACATCTCATCGATTTTCTCATTCTCCTTCATACGAAACCATTCATATTCATGGGTTAGAAAATCTATCTTACCTTCTCGGACTTGATTCATACCTTCATATGTGATTTCGAGCTTGTTCCACATATCTTTAGCGGTCGAAGAACATGAAATTTTCCGGTAGTCGTTCGGATTTACTGCACAGTAAAGAATGTTGATAGCCTTGGCGTTGTTCTCTATTTTCTTGATATCCTGCGCATCGTATTCGTCTTCGGTTTTGGGAACGGTGGTTTCCCCAACTTTCTTCATGGGCACTTCTTCCCCATTCTTGATAATTCTCCATAGGAGAAAGTTGTTGGATTGGATGAAAATTCTCATCCGCTCCTTCCAATATGTGTAATTTGTTCCATCAAATAATGGAGGCCTCGTGGTAGATTGCCCTTCTCCTAATCCTGCGTATAAGTTTTGAGTAGAAGCCATTGATCGTTTCTCTCAAACGGTTAAGTCTTTCAGAGAGTATGGCTCCGATACCAACTATTAGAATAAAGGCCCAACGCTAGAAGGGGATGAATAGCGTTTAAAACAAAATCGCAGGAAATTAAAACCGAGAGCGATAAAGTAAAGAGCGTAAGGAAGGAGCACACCGAATTTTATCCTGGTTCACCACAACGTGTGGCTAATCCAGCCTCTCGAGAGACTCTCTCGAGCTACACTAACTCCGTTAAGCTTAAGGGTGCTTAACAAACCGACACAACTTGAGAACCCGAGTCACACGAGCCTCAACGCCTTTGCTCGGAGATACCGCACTCCAAGACTTCTCACGAAGGAACAAAGAACTTCCTTCGAGTTTACAACAAGGGAACAACCTCCCTTAAAGTGTATAAAAACACTTAAACACTCAAGAATAAAACTCTCACAAAGAGTAGATTTGAGTGAACTAGGAAACGCTCAAGAACACGACAATTTCTTCAAGAATTGGCTCTCAAATAGCTAAGAAAAATAGGAATGCTTATGCAATGAAAGAGTATTGAAATGTTGATGAATTGTGTCTGAAATGAGAGGATTTGGGTGCCAATTTATAGCCCAAAATGGGAAAAATCCGTTGCTAGAATTTCCAACAGGATGGAGACAAATTTTTCAGAGACATGGGCTGATAGTCGATTACCCAAGCTTGATAATCGATTATCAAAAGATTCCTTGTCCAAAAATTTAAAATTCTATCCGTTGGAGGACAACGCTAACCCAGATAATCGATTGTCAACAAGTGATAATCGATTATTGGTCCTCTTTAGGTTTTGGCTGCACAGACTGATAATCGATTATTGCAAATGTGATAATCACATATTGCTAGCTTTAGAACGTCGGAGTTCAAAGCTGCAGAGGCAGATAATCGATTTTCATCAAAGTGATAATCGATTATTACCTAGCCAAAGTCTAGCCAATTGAAACCCGTTTTGAAAAACCGAGGTCCAAAAAGTCCGAAGTGTTCCCAAAAGTAGAAACCAAGTTTGAAAAACATTGTATATGGTATAAAATAGTGAAACCAAGACTTGTTTGGTAAAAACCAAGTCCTCAAGGTCGTTTATCACGTGTGTACGGTTAAGACCGTTTTTCACGTGTTAGACCGATTGACAAGGATACAAAGGTGGTTTTTATAAAATAATTATTTGGGAACCTTTTAAAAATGATCAGAGGTAAAAACGAGGTTTAAAAATATTGAAAACCACGGAGTTGGTTCGGGCGCCAAAAACCGAACGCTGAACTAGGTGGTTTAGGTTCCGAGCAAGGACCAGGGATTTTAACAAAAAAAATCAAAAATATTTATTTTGATGCACAAAAAATATTTTATGATTTGTAAAAATTGTTTTGACTCTTTGAGAACCGAGACTTGAATTGATTGTCGGTTTTGATCACAAAAGACCGACTCGAGTAAGTCTTCAATTCCTGATCTTGTCCTTGAGTCTTTTAGGTCTTGTTCCATGCCATTCTTCGCGCCTTGAGTTATTCAACAAAATTCTTTATATCCACGGCGGTTTGGCAATTATCAAAACCTGTCAGAAATGAACACAACTTTAGTTTAACGTACAAAGTGTGTTCCAACAGGCGCTCCCCATCCACTCTCTCCTTTCAAATAAACGCAGTGGTTGGGGAGGATATTCATGTCAGCCTTGCTTTCTCCGGGAGGGATGTATCTCTGCTTGAAGCCATCCACTGGAGGACAAGCCTTCCGTCCATCTCTCATTCCTGTCCTTCGTCCGTCCCTTTCTCTTCGTCCTTGTCCCTCCAATTGAGGGGCGGCCTACCCTAATCTCTTCCATAGGATTCCTTCCTTTTGGGTGACTTGTTCCTAATGGGCTGGGCTTCAACCCATCCTTAGGCCCCAATCCTTTTCCTTTTCCTATCTTTCCTCACGGACAAATTCTCTTAACCGGCCCAGTATATTTTCTCTAGGCCGGATTCTCCTTTTGATGGACGGGATCTTGATTGGGCCTAGGCCCAATTCGCTGGTATTCTCTCGATGGGCTTGGTTCCCATCAGTATGTATGTATATGTATGTATGTATATATATATATATATATATATATATATATATATATATATATATATATATATATATATTTATATCATTTTTTAAATTTTAGACCTATAATTAAATAAATTGAATTAAAAATAAAGTCTGTCAAGACTCGTTAACATGAATGAGTAATTCAAATTTGGAAGGATGGGGTAGTTTTTTAGTAAGGATTTTGATGTAAGGAAGGAGGAGGAGGAGTAAATGGAGGAGTTGTGTGGTGGACTTACAAAATATGATGCGGAGAAGAGAAATATGTAGTAGTCAGTAGTCTTTCCTGTAATGGTCTTTCTAGCTTAGAAGGAAATGTGACGTGTACATTAAATGTAAATCATACTCTATATCTTGAATGAAATACGTGATTTTTGTTTTACATATTATCTATAAAACTAACAAAGTTTTTCTATGTAGTTTAAAATTATGAATGTATCATAAATATGATGTAAGTGTGGTGCAGAAATTGCATTTTCAGGCATCCACTCTCCTAAATTTGGTAACACGATATCCTCATGATTGCCAATGTAAAAATAGATTGGATTTTAGCATAATGACGAGGTACAGCTAGCAAAGAGGGACGAGGTGTTCAAGATGAAGAAGTAATTATATGATCTCGTTGGTACATGATGACGTTATTTGCAATAAAATATTTTTCAATGTGAGTGTAAAAATTTAAAATATAATTTATCTATTTAGAAAAGGTACATCAACATTTTATAAAATATGAAATGTCTTTAAAATGATTTTTTAACAAATAGTTAATAAAAATATAAAGAAAAAATAACTTTTAAGTGGATTGTGAGTAGTGTATTTGGGAATTCAATTATGAGACAAGTATACAAAGTACTCCAAAACTTAATAAGTGGGAAAGTAAGAAAACTAAATTAGGTAATAAATATGAAATGTTTCATATATTTATTAAAATAGTCCTTTCAACAATAAAAATAATCTAGTATAATTCTACGAAAGTATGGTTTGGGAGAGGTTATGTATGCTGACCTTACCTCTAGTCAAAAGTAGAGAAGTTGTTTCTAAGAGACCCCTTTCCTTGAGCAACACAAAAAGCATATAATATGACAAGAAACAGAGAGCAAACTAAGATTTTAAAAAAGCTCGAGAATACCTAGCACACAAATCATTGTAAGTAGTTAGACCTCATGCCTAAAAAACAAACAACTAGAACAACAACTATCACCTAGGTCCAAACTGACTACCAAACTACCACAGTCCTAACTCTCCAGGCGCTCTTATCTAAGCTCATGTCACTGATAAGAAAAATAGGTCTAAGATCTTGTATAAAGATAGTGGTTTCATCCTAGAATAAATTTTGATTTTTATTATAAAGATCCTAAGATGAAGTGTATATTTAATTACTTTTAAAAAAAATTCCTCACTTTTCTAAATGATAGAATACTAGAATAATTGTATTACTCAAAGAATAATGAAGCATACAATAGAGTGTTTATAAGGCAAGAGTTCTAGTAATACTAAAATAGCAATAACTGAAGCTGACTAAAAACAAAGTATTCTAAAGGTAGGAGTGTTGAATATAATTGTCTAATATCCCACCTCAAAATGAACTACATGGCACAAGTGGAAGCTTGGACACAAGAGCTTGAAATCACAGTGATGGTAAGGTTTAGTGAGTAAATCTCCTAGCTGATCCTAAAATAACATGAGACACACTCATAGCACCTGGAGTGACACGCTCTCGAACAAAGTGACAATATGTGCCCATGTGTTATATGTGCTTGTGAAACACTAGATTCTTAGAGAGACATATAGCAAATTAATTATCACTAAAAAATTTGAGATGGAGTCGCTAGAACGTGTAGATCAGTCAGGATATAGGTTAACCACACAACCTTTTATGCAACAGATGACAAGGCACGATATTCTACCTCAATCAAAGACTTCAAAACTATATTCTATTTCTCCGTAATCCATGAGGCCAAGTTTGGTCCAAAATACATAGGATAACTAGTGATGGAGCGACCATCTATCATAACATTCACCCAATTATAATCAAAATAAGCATGAAGCTATAGATCACCAGATGTAAACACAAAACCTCTATCAACAACGCCTTCAAACTTTGAAAATCATTTTGCGTAGGGCCATGCATATGTTGGCACACATAATTTACGACAAACTAAATGTAAGGACGAGTAGTAGTGAGGTTCTGGACCAAACTGCAAAACAATGTAGGATCATGAAACGGTTGCCCCCTTTCTACGCTGCAGCTCGCCAAACAAGCAACATTGATGGGGTTATTCAGCAATCATCAAGGCCAGCACGGTGTAGCAGTTCTGCAACATATTTTTTATTGAGAGTAATCATTGTAGAGGTATGACATACCTCAAGGCCAAGAAAATAGTGACGAGGACCAAGATCTTCGGTCTGAAATTCTTGACACAAAAAACCATATGCAAACAAGAAAGAGGAGAGAAGCTGGTACCATGCCGGTAGAGCTTGTTTTAACCTATACAATAATTTCGTGAGCTTACAGACATGAAAATGAAACTAAGAATCAATATAACTCGGTGGTTGTATCATATAAATTTCCTCGTCAACTTCACCATGTAGAAAAACATTCGAAACATCTAGCTAATTAAGAGGCATATTATAGAAGAGAGCTAGATTAAAAACAAAAATAAATAGTATGTCTCTTAACCATAATAATAAATGTTTTAGGGTAGTCAAAACCATATTCTTGATTGTAGCCCTTTGCCGCATGACAAGCCTTATACCGCAAGATACACCCATTCCCATTATGTTTACTCTTGTAGATCCCCTTACATCCATTTGGTGCACGACCCAAAGGCCTCGGAACAAGCACCCATGTTTTTGTTTGAGAAAAGATACATATTCCTCATCCATAGCATGATGCTAAAACTAAATTTTAGAAGATTTTTTAAAAGTAATTGGCCCAGTAACAATACGAGTGGTGGAAAAGGTGGTAGTATAGATTTTAGGCTTTAAATGCCACTTTTAGCTCGACTGGTCCCGGGATGAGTAGGATGCAGTGGGGGTGGTTGTGGGAC